GATTCTATTATTAATTCTTTGACTTGATTGTTAGTCATTTATTTATTTATTTATTTTCCGCTCCTTTTCGATGCTTTGACCTAGACATTTTTATCACACTGACACTTCTGACAGTCATTCTCCAGCCGTTATAGACAGCGTACATATTTTACCTTTGTGTCTGTTAATTTTATAATCATGACTCACCTCAGGTGGATCATCATTTGGCTACATTTTATATTGGCCTGATTATTTTTAAGGTAATTGAGTGGTTTAGGATTTGTTTTCAATTTGTTATATTATGTATCCGCTGTGACAAACCATATCTTTTACTGTACTCAGTAGGGGAGACCGGGGCTATTTGTCTACGATTTACGCTATTTTCAAATTTACTAAAAAATTAATAAAGATATTTTGCTGAAAGTTTTAATGATGTAACTTCTAAACTTCCCATTAAAAAAAACGTAACTAGAATCGTTAATCTTTTAACAATTTAAAAAGGTGAATTTTTGAAGTGGGCAAGACGAGTGTGGTCAGATGGTCCCATATACGGGGCTATCTGACCACATTTGAGGGGCTATCTGTCCACACAATAAATACTACATTATTTATATTAATTTTAATATTTATTTATAATATTAATTGTTATTAACATATAACACGGAAAAAACTGTCTAACAGTCGGAGTCAGAGCAGTAGGAAGCGTTTTGTGCCGATTTTCTGGCAGGATTCCTGCGTGGTGCCGGCTTTTCTTTATCGGTGGCGTTAGACTGTTTTTGAGCCTGTTGCAAAATCAAGTTAATAAGTTTTTTTTGTTCCCTCAATTCTTTAATTCTTTTTTTTGTATTTGAGGCCTTTGCTTTCTCCTCAGCAGCGTTTTTAGAAGGTGAAGAAGTTAATACAGCGCTCATTACTTTGCGGGATTTTTTAAAAATGATTTTGCGTGGCGATGCTTTTTGAAGAGGGCGAATTAAGTCAATAGGTAACTCCTTACTAGTGGAGGGTTCTGATACAGCTACTTGCGGTGTTAGTTCGATTTGCTGCTGCTTGTCAGAAATAGGTGCCAATTCTGCACTATATTCAGTAGCGTCGTTAGTAGCTAACTTATTGACACTTTCGATGGATACTGATTCTATTTCTCCAATGGGTTTAGATCTGTCAGTTACGCTGGCTGGCAAAAAATCTGATTCGTTGAATATTTCTGAATTGAACGGTTGAATACCTGTCTTTTTGAAACCCGCAACAATGTTTCTTGGTGTAATTGATACTGAAATAGCCGTTTTCACGATTCCTGGGATACTGTGATATGTCATCATTTTTCCAGGATTATTTGTGATCCAACTATCACATGCGGTATTGTAAGCTTTCTTAAAAGGCCCGTACACAGACACATCTAACGGCTGCATTTTGTTACTACAATGCGGGGGAAGAGACAACATTATTATGCCATTTCCCCGTGCAAAATTTATTGCTGCAACACTTATATGCGATGAGTGATTATCTAACAGCAAAAGGACGGGCCTTTCCTTTGAGCATCTACTGTACATGGCAAAGTGCTTGAGAAATTCCACGAAAATATCTTCATTCATCCAACCGCTAGGATTTGCGCTGCCAGTACTACCTACTGGTCCATGTTCCACCAAAAAACTCGCATATTTAACTCGAGGAAAAATAAAATATGGAGGTGTTGAATGGCCAATAGCATTTACAGCGACAATCATGGTAACAAGTTTACCCCGCTCACCCGAAGTTATTCGACCAGTCTGACGCTCACCTCTTTTACCAACGATCTTTGTTGGTTTTTGGACCGTTGTGACACCAGTCTCATCACAATTCCAAATTTCAGCAGATGTAAAAGGATATTCGTCTAAGATTTCCTTTAAATTATCAAAAAATCTTTTAACAGTGATTGGGTTAAACGCTGATACTCTCGCAAGACTCGTTGCTTCAGGGGTACGAATAGATAAAATTGGATGTCTTTTTAAAAAAGACGAGAACCAATCGACGCCAGCCCGTTCATTTTCAACCCAAGATGGTGGCATCTTAGCTTGGATAAATGTTCCGTACGAATAAGCCACTTGTCGTACTTCTCTCGGCGTAAGTCCAAAATAAATTGCATTTGCTCGTAAAATATAATCGACAAGATTTAATTCTTGTTCAGTATTAAAAACCTGCAGAGAATAAGTTATTATATCGTGTAATATACACATTAATAAACTTATGTATTTGGCTTTCAGGCTTTCGCGGCTGTTGTCTTCTTTAGTCTTCATGGCTTCATCAGGGCCCTGATGAAGCAGACTGCAACGCCTGCGAAACGTCGGCACCACACTGCAAACGGACGTGGCAACCATCCGGAAGCCATGAAGACTAACTTATGTATTTATTAACATTTTAGAAAATTTTAATTATAAGTATCTACAATTTAGAAAATGCTCTTTTAGAAAAAATTAATATTTGAAATAGAAACTAAAGTTAAATAATTTAAAACATTTAGTTACTTGACGTGTTTTTTTAAATGAAAATTTGGTGACGATTCTGTAATGGAAGGATCAAGTAACTGTTCGCAAGTTACTTTTTTACAATAGCGAGTGAGAGTGCGAACATTTATTCCGAAATCTAACGCTGTTTTGCGATAAGATTGTCGCTCGATTTTTATTCTTTTTACTGCTTGAAGAATAACTTCATTAGGTACATCTACCTTAAATGTCTTTTTTTTGTAGTTACGCACCATTATCTCTAAAAAAGAAACAATCCATCATTAAAGTGTGTGGACACATTACCCCATTAAAAATAAGACACATAGCCCCGACCATATTTTCAATCTTTAACATGTTGCAAATTTTAAGTTATGCAAAATTAAAAAATTTGACGCTTCTCACATCTAATAACTATATATTAATTAATAATATTATAAATTACTTACTTTAATTTGAGTTAAAATACTGTCGCACAATCAATTATTCGACCGTCGAAAAATGTTAATAACCGTTTTCGATTTCTCTTAAACGTACGTAACGTCTGTGAAAAGCATCGCAGGAAAACAAAAGCTTGTAAATCACCTACGTAGAGCTTTTTCAACAACTCGTTAAAGTGATAGAGACATCTACCTCATAATATCTAAGATAGCAGTACTGTGGACACATAGCCCCCGTAGACAGATAGCCCCGGTCTCCCCTACTTGTGATCTTGTTTCATATTACATATTGTATTATTATTTTACCCATTTTGATTGTCTATTAATTTAACTTGTATTATTTAATTTGTATCTTCGACAAGTCTGTAATCCCGTTCATCGGTTTGTTCATTTTAGAATGTGCTTGGAAAGGACGAAAACCCTTGATCGAAACGTTGCACTGTATATGTTTTTATTTAATTTATTAAACATGTATAGACAGATTTATTTA